ATTATTATATAGGAATAATAATGCAGGTTTCACTGGGACTTTGTAATGAAGAACATTAGGCGCTGTTCCTTTGCTTTTGGTTTTGTCAAATGCATACATGTAGTTATTTTGTGTCATGAATTTATACACTACATATTATTATACCTTACATATATTTCAAACAATTCTATTGGGTAAAACGTTATCATGTGACATGGAATAATTCAGTTAATTTTCATTCAATTGCAAGGAAGAACGAATAACCCTAAAAATTTACACCAGCGTTAAATAATCCTATTATTCACCGGCGAATAACCTTTTTAGTTTGTTGATTTGTACTCATGAAAATGACGTCACAGACGTAAATAAACAAAATGGCAACGTTCAAGTTACAGGAAGCCCATTGATCGAGAGAAGAGGAAATAAGGCTTTTGACGTGCATCTTGTGCCGATGATATCTCTAATAACGGTCCTTTTCAGGGCCATCAATATTTTACAAAAAGAATCTACCTTTGTTGTACATACGAGAATTCTAAGACACAAATTACATGTATTTTTGAACGACAATTTGTGTTTGTTACTGACTCAAGTAGGGGTAAGTGCTTTTACAATGATTCAAAATGCCCTTCCACTGTTAGTTCGGTATAATAAAACAATTGTGGCCCTTTAGAAGCGATGAATATCCAAAATTGTCAACCCTTAAAAGTTATTTCATTTCGGGCTGCGCCCTCAGTGAAATAACCTTCTCGTGTTGACAATTTTGGATATTCACCTTTTCAACGGGCCATAATTGTATAATAACATTAACAGTAACAATTTTACTGTACCAGATGCATATCTTTGTTTTAGTATTTCTTCTCTGATGCTCGAGCCAAAACTATTTGAAAATCTGAAACCTAAACAAAACGTTGAAGAGCGGACAATCTCTTTTTTTTCCCCATTACATGGTGTTTAACAATTTGTAAGTAGCTATACCATATGTTACAAAATAAGATATCACATAGCAATAGAAAAAATTGATTAAAGACCAACGACACAATGGCTTAAAGAAACCTTAGGAAAAACATAAACCCACTAAAATACCAGACATCTCCTGGAGGGTCAGTCGTTCATGATCCACTGCGCATCTGTCGTGTAAACGAAGTAGCTTTTCATGATCCCCTAAGCATCTGTCGTGTAAACGAAGCAGACGTTCATGATCCACTGAGCATCTGTCGTGTAAGAGAAGCAGCAGTTAATGATCCCTTAAGCATATGTCTTGTAAACCAAGCACTCGACATGATTTACTTGGCATCCGTCGTATAAACAAAGCAGTCGTTCATGATCCACTGAGCATCTGTCGAATGAAAGAAGCAGCCGTTCATGATCCACTGAGCATCTGTCGTGTACACGAAAGCAGACTTTCATGATCCACTGAGTATCTGTCGCATGACAGAAGCAGCCGTTCATGATCCACTGAGCATCTGTCGTGTAAACGAAGCAGCCATTCATGATCCACTGAGCATCTGTCGTATAAAAGAAGCAGCCGTCCATGATCCACTGAGTATCTGTCGTGTAAACAAAGCAGCCGTTCATTATCCACTGAGCATCTGTCGTGTAAACGAAGCACCCGACATGATTCACTGGGCATCCGTCCTTTAAACGAAGCAGACGAAGCAGATGATCCACTGAACATCCGTCGTGTAAACGAAACAGGTTGGTGGATCAATTATTGAATTTATCAATTATCAGTTCATACTTTTTTCTTTTGCCCTTAGGTTGTAAGGAGAAAGTCAGTTGCTGATAGACTTTATTACACTGTTCTTACTAAATTTTAGATGATGGTTGATATCAGAGATACCCTTTTATAACCAATTGGTCTTATATGATATTGCTTTGATCCACAAATAGGTAACCCAATATTAAGTTCAGAGTCATCTTGGTGAGGGACTGCTTATTGACCACCATGTAGACGAGCATATTTTATTTTCTCATATGAAAAGGCATTTGTTTACGTCTATATCCAGGTTTTTTAACGCAATACTATAAGTGTTCACATGTTTGAATAAAGATTTGTTTTTGTAGTATACTGCTAATCAGTTCATTACTGTTCAAATTGTTCGATACATTTGGTAAGATAATCCCATTCTTCAGTTTGTTAAACCTTCATTAGTAATACCTGTTATACTATCATTTGAGGTTTAACAAAAAGCGCTGCTGCTTGTACAAATTACATTGACACATGACAATCTTTAAAGCTAAAATCAACGAGCAGCATATTCATTTTTCAAAAGAATCATATGCGTAAGAGGAAAGTTTATAAGCAAAATTTAACTCCATGTATGTCCGTTAATGATATGGGGTATCATCTTACCCCAATTTTGCTTTGATGCACGGTTTTAACATAGTTTGATGCGAAGCATATTGAAACCAACTTCAAAGCAAATACAAAATTAGGTCAAACGTATTTCCGAAATCTCATATGTACATTATTCATAATCACATAATCAATAGAAATAATAACAAATTAATCTGAAATTTGATAGTGACTTCAATTATGCATATATTTCACAGAACTTATAGAATTTATAATCTTCAAAACTTGACAACACAGGAGTGCCTTTTTCCAATCCTCGGTGTCTTTATCTAATAAATTCTCCTATCCCGCTCTGCTGCACCATCTGCATTGTATGTTTAATATATTTTACATATTCTCTCTCTCTCTCTCTCTCTCTCTCTCTCTCTCTCTCTCTCTCTCTCGGATTGCTAAAAATTGCAACCAGTTCTTTAAAGACACGTTATTACACTCAAATGATATTTCTTTCTTGAAAATGGTATAATATGATCACCCATCAAATGTAGTGTTTAGAAAATATTGACGTCTGTTTAATTTATTCTCTTCCTGAACATGCATGTAATATTTGTAACTGGACATTAAACATCAATTCATCATCATCATCATCATCATCATCATCATCATCATCATCATCAATAACTTTCATTGAACTGACATAAATATATTCGTATTCGAGAATAAAAACTCATGACGTTTCAAAGATAAATATGGATTCTGTGTTCCTGAACATAGAACCGAGAACGTCGAGTGTGTCATGTTATATACAAACTAAACACATTCAGCAAATCAAATTGTCAAACTGGGTTTAATTTCCTTCACAATTCAAGATCTTTTATCAATTATTGAAGAAATAAATATAATCGTTAACCTAATTTTGTTAATAATAGAAATATAATAATACCAGCGATAATTAATCTATTTGAAGCATAGAATTTAGAATTACGAGATCGTATTTATGAAATAGACAGGGAGTAAGTTAATAAGTTATTTGAATTAGATTCTCATCCCGCTGTAGTCGTGCTATATTCTTTTGTCTTTCTTTCATTGTTGCATTTTTGCATAATTAATTGAAATATTTACATTTCGCTCAGTAGTTCCGAGTATTGAGTACCAAAATGATATTCGACTAATCGGTATCTTGTTAGGCTATTGACGTTTTCTTTAAATAAAATTGATCTTTATTGAGAGCACCTGTCGGAAAATTAAATAGTAATTTTTGATTAATCAAAATTAAAATACGTTTCGAATGTTTGCGCTTAACGAGAACAGCTTTCATAGGTTCATACTTTTTGCTAAATGTGTCTTAGCCATTGCAACACACCTGTACCGTCAGAGCAACTATTTTCGTCTGCAGGACATCTAATTACATAACAAAGTTGAAAAACCGAATGTACCCAGAAAAAGTTGAACTAGATAATATTTCTTAGATAGATTTTGCTATTTTTAGGTCATTTTTGGTCATATAGCTCTTCAACTGTTGAAGTTTTTATACATCCTTGGCTTTCAAATATTCGGCTTCGCACGCATGAAAATAACGTGTTGTTTTCATTTTTTACTGCACTTGGTCGATACCTCAGTACTTTGGACATGATTAATAAAAGAGAAGCAAAAGATACCAAAGGGATATTCAAACTCATAAGTCTAAATCATACTGACAATGTCATGACAAAAAACGACAAAAAGACAAACAGTACACAAAACACAACAAAGAAAACAAAATAAATATTCATCAAGTTTTATTGGAAAATTCTAACAGGACTATATGATGGGCTTAGCTCCGAAGGAATATGGATGGATGGGTTCAGTGAACCTTTCAAAATTAAGCGAGGAGTAAGACAATTAGCTTAAAATTAAAATACAAGAATTAGAAAGTATAAGGAAAGAAAAGCTTAGGGGGAAATTTATACTGTAGAGTTCAGTGGATTGAAGAAGGTGAAAAACCTACAAAGTATTTTTGTGGTCTTGAATTAAAAAATTTACAAGCAAAATAATTCCCAATTAATAAAAAGGATAATGGGAAAATATCTACAAACCAATTTGATATTTCAAAGGAGACAAAAGACTTTTATGAAAGTTTATACATAAATAGAGATAAAAATGGCAATGGGTGTAATTTGAGTGATTTAGAGAGACTTAAAAAGATTTTTAATAAAATTTGATTTATCTGCAAATAAAACAAAATATTTTCAACTGCAAAAATATTTTAAAAAGGCTTTAACATTCCAGGCAGTGCTTAGTAAAATAAAATCTTTTAACAGCATTGAAAAATTAATTGCTGTAAAAAATAAAAGAGTAAATATTTTTGACAAGAGTTGGAATGCTTTTGTCATACTTTTCAGTGATTGATCAATTATTATTTTACCATGTGTATGTTTGCATATTCTAGTAGAAATAGAATTGCCTTTTTTTCAACTTCAGATATTTTATTTCACTAATAGTTGCTAACAATGTCCCTTGGTGTTACAACAATGGCACTAAGGTTCCTCCCTGTATTGTTAATTACCAATAAAACCAGGGGATTTCATAAGCAAACTTCTTATACATCTGTATATTATTACGTGTTAGTTTCAATTTACAGTGTAATTCTACAAACACGTATACATTTTGGTGGCATATCGACTGAGATACAATGAAAAAGAAAACGTATCTTTGACCGTCTTTTGTTCAACTTTTAGTTTCTGATTTTAAAAACGAAAGTAAAAGTATGGTTTCTTATCTTTTGGATCGAAAGGTCAGTTTTATTGAATTTATTACGATTGTCTTTTAGATAATATCTTATCATTCAATTACTTCAAACATAGAATAATATACGAGATCTGGTATTTAAACAAAAATGAAGAAAGGAGTAGTTCTTGATAAGCATTTTCCTTCCTTTTATTTCAATGATTTTTTACTGTGGTACTAAGCCATTCCAATGCAAACAAACGAGATAAAGAATCAAATTTCTAATATTCTCTCATGAAATTTTCTCAAAAATAAATTTTTCTGATGATATAAAATTTGTGTTTCAATTTCATTTTTTAGGACTGACACCATATTCACATATTTAGTTCTCTTTTCTGATAAATAAAAGCATTTATAAATCACAAAGCAAACAATTGTTATTATATGATTAAGTATATTATATTCAACATCTTCAACTTTATATCCTATTGCAAGATTTTTAAGACAAAAAACTTGTTGACCAATATCAAAATACATAAATATTTTGTGGAATAAAGTCCAATAGTTTTTAACCCATATGCATTCAAAGAAGGAATGGTTGTAGTTATCAGATTTGAAACATAGCTCATAGTTTTCACTATTAACTACTTTCCAACGATACAGATTATGGTTGATGCTCAAATGTTATGCAATAGTTTCCAACATAACATTTTCAATCTATTATCTTTTAAAAAATGAGAAGTAAAAGATAGATTTTTCTTTATAAAATAATTAACATTTTCACAGAATAGTTGGTTTTCCATGAGCAAAAACCTACTGGAAGCTCTTTATTAGACCTGATTATAATATTATAAATTTCTTTAAACCAAAGTTTGTCTAGATTGTAATACATGGAATACAATCCATGACAAAACATTTTAATGTATTGTGTTATGTTATTTTAGTATGTTTTGATATATTACTGTTAAATTTTTCGTTCCAACTTTTGGGTAAGGCTTTTCGAAGAGTACATAGTTCAGCGATCCAGTTTTGTTTCTTTTTCAGTTTATCTAATACTTTATGAGAAATTTCTCCTTTATCATCAATTACATCATTAACAAAAATTATGTTTTCTTTTACCCAATGGCTAAAATATAAACTTTTGCCATGAATCTTTATATGGTGATTTCCCAGTGTAACTTGTTTTCTTATATCTCTATAATTATCAGATACTAGTGTCTTCCCCCCTCCATTTTTTAATCCAACTTTTCAAAATTTCAAAGTAAAAAGTAGGTAATTGTTTTAGGTTTTCTAATGATTTATGAGAACCAAGATTCATTTTAAATATAAAGTTGTTATCCCCAATCTCCCAGAAATAATAGGTTGGTATAATTTTCTAGTTGGCACAAGTTTCATCATTTAATCTTTTAACCCAATTTATTTTGATAGCCTCAATGTATGCATCAATATTCGTCATTTTCAGTCCCCCTTCAATGTAATCTTTTCTTTAACACTGAACGTTTAACTTTCTCACTACCACCCTCCCATTAAAAATTAAATAAGATTTTTTTTAATTGACTTACAGTCTCTTTGCTTAGATTTATCAATGAAGCAACATATGTTATATTTGGAAAAACTAGTGTTTTGATTATAGTTATCTTTCCAATCATACTCAATTTTCTTTTCTTCCAATCGTTTAGTACTTTTTCTGATTTTTCAAACTGTTTATCTATATTAAGTGTTTCATATTCTCGTCTGTTAAAGCCAAAATAAATACCAAGACTTTTCACTTTATCTTTCCAATTGATACTTTCAAATTTATCTTTGCGATGTTTAAGTTTACCTAGCCATATACCTTCTGTTTTGTTTCTATTGAGTTTAAGTCCAGAGAAAGATCCAATAGTTTCAATTAAATTTAGTGCATGTCTTATTTCATCTTTAGATCTTAAAAAGAGAGTTGTATCCTCTGCTAGTTGTGAGATTTTTAGGCTATGAGTTTTTTATCAATTTTTATTTGTATCCCTTTCAGATCATTATTATCACTTATTCTACAAGCCAGTATTTCGACTGATAATACAAACAATTAAGCGCTTAAGGGACATCCTTGTCTAATTCCCCGTTGAATCCCAAAGGTTTCAGAGATACACCCTTTTTTTTAAATTAATCCTTTTATATCACGATATAAAAATTGACACACTTTTGAAATGACTCATTGAATCCAAATGTGTGTAATGATTACAGCATAAAGTCCCATTCTAGTGAGTGGAACGCTTTAGAAAATTCTATGAATAGTATAGCTCCATCAATATTAAAGTTTTCAGCATAATCAATAATATCTTGAATTTGACGTACGTTGAATCCTATATAGCGATTTTTACATAATCATTTTGATCTCTGTGTATGATTAGGGGTAGAATTTGTTTAAGTCTTTGTGCTAAAGTATATGTAATAAGTTTAACATCTGTATTCAACAAAGTGATTGGACGGTAACTATCTAGGGACAAAGGATATTTCTTTTGAAAATCAATGATATAATCCCAATCTTTTGGGTGTCAGAGAGAGTTTCTTTATCATAACATGCGTTAGACACATTCAATACAATATGCTTTGATTTTGGCTAAAATTGTCGATATAAGTCAACAGTTAAACCATATTTGCCTGGAGTTTTGTTTATTTTCATCTTATAAATAGAAGATGTTAACTCCTCTATGGTTAATATATCATCCACTTGTTTGCTTTCACAAAGGGTTAAAGAGTGGTTAATGTGGGTATTATCAATATATGTCTTTAAAATTTCAGTTTCAGGACATGTGCTTTTGTACAGAGATTTATAATACACTTTACTTATATCTAGAATTTCACTTTGATCTACAGTAAACCTCACCATTTTTTGTCAATAATTTATTAATAGAATTTTTAACTTGTCTATTCTTTTCTAAGGAAAAAAAGTACTTAGTATGTTTTTCTCCCTCTTCGACCCATTTTATTCTTGACCTAACCATGGCCTCTTTTGCTTTTAACGAATATATATCCTCTATAGTTCTTTTTCTAAATTTTTAGGCAGTGAAGCTGCCTTATGCTATCACCCTAGATTTGTGTTCTTCCCACTGAATGGTGTAAAAAGTGCTATTGTTATTATCTAGCTGGCTAATATGTTAAATCTAAGTTGGCGGTAATTTTAACATACACGAAACGTAAGCTAGTAAGTATTCTGATGTTATAAAGTATGTTTTGTTTATCATGATCTTCTTTTCGTTTAAGAAGATTGTGATTAATCAATTAATTTCAATTAAATGTATGCACATTTAAATTCCTTTCTCTTATTAAATTATTCCGTTCATCATTGAACTTGCCAAATTTAGTTGTTGTTGTTTTATGAATGACAAAGATGAAAATCGACGTTGATGGGATGTTTTAAGAAATGTGGACAACTCGTCCCCGAGACAATTCGGACCGAGTCCACTCGGACCGTCAAAGAAGACAACTCGGACCGCTTGTCAGATTTACTTAGGGTTTCATAAAATGTTAGACTAACATGTCTAGCGGAGCCATCAATCTTTCGTTTGTGCCTTGGGGTCTATTTAGGGGTATTTTGAGGGGCCTAAAGAAGGGAGGGGTTTACTATAGAACCCTATGGGATTTTATTTTTTTTCAATTTTCAAAATGACTATTACTTGAAAACAGTAAGTGATAGACACACACGGTCTTTAGTAATAATAACAGGACAATAGAACAAATCAAATAAAATATAGGGTGAGTCCCTGGGGGGTCATCCCACCCCTTGAATTTGAAAATGTGCTTTTATCTTGTAAAAGGTCGCGATCCCCACCCCTAAACCATATATATACTTGTATGGGACAATAAAACAAATCAAATGAAAATTTGGGGGAATCCCCAGCGTCACCCCATCCCCTTCTGTTTGAGAACTTGTAAACTATCGAGATCCCCACCCCTACTGCATACATATTTTTTTATTAAAAGATCATTATTTTTTCCATCAGATACTTTGTCTAATCTTTCATTGAAAGTTTTCAGTTTGATTTCCATAACTAAAAGTTGTTTTTCCTTTCTTTGCCTTTAGATTTACAGTATTGAAATAGATTGTCATGTGATATATTGGCTCTTATATGATAAAATACAAAATAATTCATTTGTGCAAATAAAAAACCAAAACGAACCTAAAAATTGTCTTTCATTATTATTTTTTTTTTTTTTTTTTTTTTTTTTTTTCATTATTTGATTACTAAAAATCTACAGACATACTTAAAATATATATCTTTACATTTTAACCCTCAAACAACACAAACTTTATCTTTTTTATAACCTGCATTAGTTATATTAGATAATTATGTTTGATAATCTTGATGAAAAATCTTCTTATTGAATTTACTTACATGATATATTATTTTTTTTTTTAAGTATGTAAAATTATGCATACTACTAAAAAATACTAACAGATGTATAAATATTGTTTACTAATATTAACGAGGCCCGGATAAAGCACCGGTATTTGATATTTTTCAACTAACAAATGTATAGATTTCAGTAAAATAGGAAAAATTAAAAACAATACTATCCAAACGTATCCATACATTTATACAAAATATTAGTACAATAAAACCTATTGATAGAAATAGAAAAAGTACAGCAAAAATTCCGAACTCGAAGGTAAATTCAAAAAAGAGGGAAGTCAATAAAAACTGACAAAATCAAACGTTATTAACCAACGGAACGAGTAAATAAAGAACTGTCATATTCCTGACTTGGTTCAGGCATTTTCCGAAGAAAATATGTTTATAGATACGTTATATTGACAAAACTGGATTAGCAACCCTAACAGACATAATAGGCTTGTGTGCCAATAATTGGGACCCAGCAGTTAAAACTTTGTAAACATACATCACAGACATATAACAACACTGACTATAAAATTAAAAAAAAAACCATATAAATAAATCTAACAAAGAAAAGACGGCAACAAAAACGTTGCTGTAGTTGATAGTAAATTTGACAAAGACAACAACAAAAAAGTTTTTGTAGTTGATGGTAGATTGACATAGTTGTAGTTGATAGTTCATACCGTATATAGTATACACTTTTTCGATAAAAAAAAAACATTTTTTTTTTATCGAGAGCAGAACTCATTAGGATATCATTTGGGAGACATATATATATAAGAGAACACTTGTGCAGATGATATAGTCCTTATTTCAAACAATGAATATGAGTTTCAAATAATGTTAAATTTAATAGACAGATATACTAAAGAGCACCATTATCAAATTCATCCAATCAAAACTGAAATATTTGATTGCTCAAAGCAAAAAAACTGACTACAAATGGACTATGGGGGGTGAAAAAGAAAAAACACAGATTGTATTGAACATCTAGGAATAAGGATAACAGTTAGGGTTGAAAAAATTCACCATTAAAGAAAGAATCAAATCAGCTAGAAGACCATATATTCACAGGGAAGATAAGAGGCACCTGCAGTCGTTATCAGAGAGGACATAAAATGCTGCTGTCTTATTATCATTAGGAACATTGTCAATAGATGCTGAAATACACAAGAGACAATCACACTTCTATACTCCATGATATCTTTGTGAGATGTTATGAATAGCATTTGTCACTAGTAATTACAATAATAAAAGTTTCTTCAGCTGAATATTTAGCATACTTGAATTATATAATCTGTCTTCTATCAGTTATCTATACAAAAACATATCGAAAGAAAATGCCTGGAAAGAGGAAACTAAGAAAAAAATAAACCATTTTTGGAACGCTAAATTGTGCAGCCATCAATAAAACCAGTCTTAAATATTTGAACATTGAAAGCCTTGAAATTAGACAAACCGTACTTTGGAACCTGAAGAATCAACCAAGGCTTGAGGTAAGCCAAGCTATTGTGAATGCGAAAAAAGAAAGGAAACTAGATTTGAATCTTAAAAACTTGAATCAAAACATAAAGAAAAACAAAGGGTACAAAAATTATAATTAAGAGGATTAAATAGAAGGAGCATACGAAGACAAAGAAAGAACTATATCAATTATTGCAATTAAATAGAAAAACAAAAGATATGTGGTATCCATCCATGACGCAAAATCAGTAAATGCACAACAAAAAACATACAAAGAGCAAAGGAACAGCGCTTTTATTGCTGTTCTTCATCTCAAAGTCACAGTGAGACCTCAACAAAACAAATATTACAAAGAGGTGTACAAATATGTTTTTTACTTTGTTTAAAAGGTTTCTTGGACTTTACTTTACAAAATGTCCTTGTTAGCAATTAGCAAAGCCAGAGAAAGACAACGTGTCCTTGTTATTAAAGCCTGAGAACGATTGATTGATTGATTGATTGGTGTTTAACGCCATTTTCAGCACTATTGTGCTATTTCGTGGCGGTCAGTTTTTATTTGTGGAGGAAGCCGGAGTGCTCGGAGAGAACCACCGACCTTCGGTGGGAAAACTGACAATACTAGTCAATTAAGATTACAGTCGAGTACACCTGCCCCGTGCAGGAATCGAACTAACAACCTCAGGGTTGACTGGCTAGTGATACAGTAGTTCGACTACTTTTACCATTCGGCCACCGAGGCCCCGCCAGATAAAGACAAATTGTCCGTGTTAGCAAAACCAGAGACAGACAAAGTGTCTTTGTTAGCAAAGCCAGAGAAAGATAGTTCAAAATATTTTTTATTAAAACAATATTTCTTAAAGCTTAGGAATCAGTACAAAAAAAAAACAGTAAAGACCAAATTTAAGAAATTGTAAAAAATTAGATTCCTAAACTTATGTAAATGAAAATATATAGAATTTTTGATGAAGTTACGACATCTAAAACAGCTGATTCTAATAAAGGAGTTAAGAAACTGCATCCATTTCGATATTAAAACCTACCTAGATAAGCATGTATTTGACAAACATACAAATAATTTAAAAAATAAAACAGCAAATGAGCATGAGGTTTTAAAAAACACTACCAGTTTGCTATGATAGAAAGTCAGAAATCTTGATGAGACAGTTGAGACCTCTTACGTCCCATTAAAAGACAAAGGCAACAAACAACAACAAAAAACGGAAAGATAAACAACAGTATACAAAATACAACATAAAAAACTAGACTGAGCAACACGAACCCAATCAAAATCAGGAGTGATCTCAGGTGCATCGGAAGGGTAAGCTGATCCTGCTCCACATGTGGCACCCGTCATGTTGCTCAAATGTTGCCTTCCATATTTTGTCTATGCATTTATCCATCTTAGGGATGGGATATTTTTCAGATTTTGTCAAAGTGTTATTTTTTTCTAATATATGTAACAAATCAGGTTGTGGAACGAACTTAAAGCCAATCACTATGCTCAATCAGAACATTTTATATCATATTGTTAATTATTTTTTTAAGATATAGTGCTTTTATGTGAATGACTCTATATGGATATTGCTTAATTGGTCCATCATTCATACATCTACATATTGATATGCAGAAGTAGATTTACTAGGTATGTGAATAATTGATCAGTGAACTCATATTTAAGTTTCAGTAAGTCATACCCTTTTGAATATGTGTAAAAAGGGGCTCAGTTCGAAAATAAACTGACACCGTCATGGCAAAAATCGAAAGACAGCGAAAAGAAATTCACGTCTGCAAAACACTACACAGAAAACTAAATCAGAAAGTAAAAATGCGAAATCATCGGAGTTTAATACCTTTACACTAAATCAGTATAATCCCTTCAGTTGTACTCACACCATTAAATTGTACTGGCTAAAGTCGACATTCTTTTTCTCTTTCATGATATAGCTTCATCACATTTATAAAACTACCTTTTTTTATATTTGCAGTGCCCTGGAGGAGTACAAATACCATAATACATCACTGACCTTTTTGAAAATGGCGTACGGTCAATTACAGCTAGCTTGCAGGTGTTGGTAAAAATAAATAAAACTTTGGCAATCTTAACATACCTTCATGTACCTTGTGTTTTACTTAATAAAAAAAAATGTGGTATGATTTTTAAATGATATTTCATGTCAACACAAAAGTGCTGACTACTGGGCTACTGATATTCTCAGAGACATAGTGTCAATCAGCAGTAGCATCAACCCAGTAAAAACTCCCATGTTACCACGCTTATAATATGGTTAAATTAGGATTTGATATCCTGTAAGTAATAAGAATTCTACAAGTAAAACCAAAATTCCAAACCAAATATGTGTATCTATGAAAGAATTTAGTAATCGTTTTATGTTTTCATTGGCAATTAAATTATCAAGTTTATTATCTGAGAATAATTCAACCACTGTACCCCCAAAACATTTGATGGGTCTGTAACAGTACGACTAAAAAAGCACTAAGTAACAAAACTTTAGAACAAAAGAGATGATTTCAGCTTCCCAATTGTGAACTTACCATTTCTATGTAGCAACATTCCAGCAGCGCCAGCATACGGATTATATATTTCCCATTTGATACGATATTCCAGGGTTTGTTTTTCCTATAATGATTTCCTTGATAGAGGGTTGCTGCTCACAAGGAAGGTATTGCACCAAGAGTTCCAAGTGGTGATAGTTGCAATCATCCCTTCTTTAATTTTACGGACGCCATCACAAGTTGGTTGACCGTTATGGAATATCTGTTTCACAGATGACGATGGATATCTTCCAATTGTCGTGGCTGCAATCCCGTCCCATTTTCCCGAATGTGACTTACCGAATTAGACTTATCACCTGAGCAACACGACGGGTGTCACATGTGGAACAGGATCTGCTTACCCTTCCGGAGCAACCGAGATAACCCCCAGTTTTTGGTTCTTGTTGTTCAGTCTTTAGTTTTCTATGTTGTATTTTGTGTACTGTTGTTTGTCTCGTGGTCTTTATCTTATTAAGCCAATGCATTGTCAGTTTATTTTCGACTTATGAGTTTGAATTTCCCTTTGGTCTCTTTCGCTTCTTTTTTATAAGGACTGAAACCTTAAACCTAGAAAGTTTTCTGTATAGACTCCTAAGCAGGTAAGTGTAGCACACAAGTACCTCTTTTTTTCGCTTTATGTCATGGTATTGTCAGTTCGTTTTCGGCTTATGATTTTGATTATCCCTTTAGTATATTTTGCCTCATAAAAGGTTTATGGCAAGATAGTGCTGAAATGGTGTCCAATTAACATACTCCCTCCAGTTTCTTCCAGTATAAATAATGCAAATGAGAATGGAAAAGTCTACTTGTCAACAAGATTAGTAAAGGTTCAAACGTTTGTTCAGGCTATATTTGTGGTATCATTATTCACAATTATAATGTGGTACAACATTTATAACAGATGCATAGTGTTTTTTGAAAGATTTAGAAAAACATTAACTGTACCAGATGGGCATTTCGAAAATTCATATCTCTTCAGTGGTGCGCGAGGCTCAACTGTTTGAATAAGGTAAATATAACTTTATATTAAATTAAGGGATATGGGGTATCCATCCATGACACAAAATCAGTACATGCACCGCAAAAACACATAAAGATCAAAGGAACAGCGCTTTTCTGCTTGAGCGGAATTCTTTGCAAAATAATTCGGGTAGATTTTGTAAGCTGTAACACAACCATATCGGGCTTGGTCAAACAGAACATACTGGAAAGTAGTACATATTCAAAACAAAATAGTTCATACGCATAGGTGTAAATATCAACTATGTAGAATATATTTTGGTAATTTAGGTAGCAAATGAAAGGTGAAGGACTGGTGATCCTTGTAGAACACATATTGACTGATAATTTTTTGAATAATACAAAAATGTATGAAGAAATAAAATCTAATAAAAAGGGCATGTATTGACTGATTCTCAGATATAAAGTACCTGATTTGGTATATCAAAAGTTCTGGTAACCAGTACTGTCTGGTGTGTAAATGACGGTATATAGACTTCGCACTCTATAAATGCTTGAAATAGAAAAAATTTAATATAGAAAGTGATGAGGACCAAGAATAGGTGGTGTGCGTCTCATTAAAATTTCAGAACACAAACTGGCCTAAAATTTAAGAGAAGTTATCTCGAGAATAAATACACCATAACTTTAAAAATACAGAAGAGCTTACGTTTTTTTTCTTTTCATTGTATATATTGTTCGTAATCCTCTTACATTTATACATTACAAGCATTACAAGCATTACACGCATTACATTTTAAAATAAGACACCTGCCAGACCAGGACGATTTCATTGATGAGAATCTTTCGAGTTTGTATTATTTGAATATTGTAAGATTAAAAAGTTCAAACTTTTATTAATGAGCATAGCGTTATATGCTTATTTATGTTAAAAAATAAAAAAGATATTACACACATAGATTTATTATGGATTATTAAATGATAATATTGATTAAGAATTTAGTTGCCACACTAGGAAAAGAAGCTAATACAAACTTACAAGCAAACAGCTCATCTAGGAAACATTATAGAAACCAATTCACGAATAGATGGTGAATATAAAAGAACATATAAGTATTCTTGTATTGAAGACTCTTTACTCACTAATTCCAATCGGATTAAATGAAAAACAAGTTTTTAGTAAAAAAAAAACAACATCCAAACATATGTTCTTCCAAGACTATAAGTTAATTTGTCATATATCATTGAAATACAAATAAAAAATAAACTGTTTTCAACAAGACGTAGATAAGAACAGATTAATAAAATATTACAAATTTCATTATATGGATTAATATTTTTTTTCCCTGTGCAAACAGAAGATGAAAATGTTTAGCAAAGAAAAGTAATTCTTGAGAACAATGCATGTGAGAAACACAAATCTTCAAAGATAATCAATACTTCTCTAGGTAATTCAAGATAAAATGTGTTTGTTCCATTACTCTGACTGTTGTTTTGATGACTTATAGAAGAAATTCATACATCCTTCTTAATTTTCTAATAATAACACTTTTGTAATTGGTAAACTTAATTAATGGTGGATAATATCTAATAAAGCATACAACATTAATCCTATATATAACTATAGGTTATCATTTTTTTTCTGAATATAGATATTGTAAAATTATCAACTATTGATAGCATTGTCTGTTCCTATATTTTGATAGGGCAGTCATTATTTTCTACGACATTTTTTTCTCGTTTATATGATATACACGATGAAATCAGACAGGAATGACATTCATTTTTAGTAATTACTTGATAAATTTCTACAGATAGCTCAAACCTGACAAAGTTGATTTTGAAAACCCCTATTTTGAGAAATAATGATATGAAAACAAAAATATTCAAGATTATAAAAAAAAAAAATATTCTGACTTTGTGTGGAAAGGTAGTTACCAATTAGGTATTCACTTAAGAAAGGTAGTTGCCAATTAGGTATTCACTTGAGAAAGGTAGTTGCCAATTAGGTATTCACTTAAGAAAGATGTTAATCTACGGTTTGGCATGAATGTAATGAAACATGTAATAAAATACCGCAAAACTAACAAATTAACAAATTTTTTTCAGTCTATTCATCTTTCTACCTACCTACCTACCATCCTAATATATATTCTAAATTATGTTTTGCATATAGGTATTCGGAAGCTGTTACTGTTTGTATGTCTTCTCTGTCTGTTTTGTGTTAGCATTCTATATGTGATGTGGTTACATATTTGCTATTTAAGAATAAACTCATCTTAGATACCAGGATTGAAATTGTGTACGCCAAACGCATGATTCGTTTACAAAAGAGAGGCGAAATATACCAGAGGGACATTCAAACTCACAAGTCAAAAATAAACTGACGACGCCATGGCTAAAAAAGGAAAAAAGACAAACAGACAAACAATAGTACACAAAACACAACACAGAAAACTACAGACTGAGCAACACGAACCCCACCAAAAACTGGGGGTGATCTCAGGTGCTCCTGAAGGGTAAGCAGATCCTACTCGATATGTCAGTGACGATTGAATCAAAAGTTAAAACGGCAAAATAAAGTTCGAAGTTGAAGAAACGATATTTAGCCCAAGATGTTTTCTTCTTTTAGGGAATTTGTGAAATTTCACAGGCGCCGTTGAATCAATAAGGATTTGGGTATGCCTTTTTTTATACCCTTTTTGGTCATTTAGATTGCCACGTATTCATGTGTTTATACATCTTAGTTTTCATTGTTTAATAATGAGCGTGCCAAATGAAGACTTGTCCAGAAAAGCCCTTAACAAATATAACTTTAAAGAGTTTTTTTTTCATTTTCTAGCCCTGGGTCGATACAACGGTTGTACCCGAGAGTATCATCAGATCAGTATAGAAGTCAGTTTCGGTACTGACATGATTTATAGCAAACCATTCTTAAATTATCCGTTCATAAAACATGAGATTATTAATGTCCATTATTTTGGTTTTAAGCTATCCTGGTCAAGGTAAATCCACAAGCGATTAGAACTCACCAAAGGATGAGATATGATAAAAAATGAAAACAACAATTTCATGCGTCCAAAGCGCTGGATTTACCTTCATCGGGAAGGATACGCCGTATATTTAAAAGCCAAAGATGCATAAGAACCGACACAATTGAAGATCTGTTTGACTAAAAATGTCATTATTTGGCCCCTGAAATTGCAAGTATGGTAAACTTATTCAAGCCTTTCAAAAGTATGCTAATTTAATTGATAAATTGCACTTAAAAGAAGAAGGGTCACTTGTGATGTCAATATGACGTCATACACATGTTGAACAAACTGTTTCGACAAAATAGATATGACCAATAGCTTTACCTCAAAAAGATATTTTACATACAATAACTTCTTTATTACATTCATTTTGAAGCAACATATCTTTTTGGGTGAAGCAGTTGCTCATATTTAAATTATAAGTACAAGAACTTAAAATGTGGCTATTTCGGCAGTTTTTGTAGTTTTGCACTAAACACAAGTAGTTCGAAGCCTAAAATTAAATGCCATTTTTTGAATTGAATACTGATATCTGTCAGACTAATGTCACATTTGAAGAATTTTATTTGATACATGTATAATACTTTT